ATGCGAAGGGTCTCAAGGTCTTTGATTGTGTTCGATGTTTGGTAAGTCCGTGAGTTATCGATATTCCAAACGCTTTCATTCATGGAAACTGTTTCTTGTTATTATTGGCAGTGAATTTTATTGTCAATGAAACAATAAAAAGCTGACAGGCTTTGAATTGCCAATCACATTGCCGTCAACTCAGTTCCAACTCACCACAGTTGCCTCAGAGGAGACGCAACAGTCAAAATTAACCAGCTGTATTTTGTTCAGAACGTGCAAATTTTCACCGAAATACATGTCAGTACAATCTCAAGTCTACGACATGGTCTCAAGATTTTGCATTGCCAAGTTCATAATCTTTGCACCGCATAAAATATTTTAGGTGTCAAATTCCTAGCAGAAGTCTTGACTTCACCAAATATCGAACATATCATAAAATTTGGTATCAATTTCGATATTTTTTCTTTAGAAAAACTCGATTATGTCACATAATCGAGTTTGACACATCATTTATGTGTCAACTTCCTTACTTTTCAGGTTGTATTTACCCATCCAAATGTGTACTTAGCCACTTGCAAACCAACACTAGTGGACAATTTCATTGAAGGTTTTGAATATCGAATTTGAAAAGGAGATACAAAATGTTCGATACACAAACTACAATGTATATAGGAGATTATATTAATGCCAATTGTTTCGACCAGCAAAGATATGTGCATTTCAAAAACCTACAGATATAAATTTTAGATAAATTTTGGCGTCGCGATAAATCTAATCATCCTGTACATTGGTTCATAGTTAGTTAAATAATATGATTAAATAACTTAGTGAGTTACTAAAATTTTAGTCTCAAAGAGAAAATGTAATTTTACTCTCCAGACTCCGATAATAAAGAGTTCAATTTTTCACATAACTCTCCAACTTATATCGCAAAATTGAACAAAATAATAATAAAAGATGTTAAAATAACAAATAAGTCTATCTCTTTAAAAAAATTATTATATTATATTATAATTATGTTTATTTACTTAATCAAAAATAAATGCAAAAAGGGAAGAAACATATACGAATAAAAATGATTTTTTTTACATAGGTAATATTGGAAAAAGAATCATATCATATATTTTTACTCGGTCCAAAATAAAATGTATTCATTTATTGAAAATTTCCTTCACAAAGATAATATTCATAATTATGCTTTACATGTATATTCTTGATGCTATTACTTTAATAGGAGTTAACTCAGATTTTGGGTAACTCATATTGACCTTGATTAGTTAAATTAACTTATATGTGATAATTAAAAAGGTTGGGCTGTAGCTTTTAGTGACAGCTTTTATGATGAGGTTTTGAGATGATTCATGAATGTAGCGTGTTCAATATGGGTGTGTCTCTTGACTGCACTCCAATTTTCTGGTTACAAATTTGTTAAAATCTGCATCACGGTTTTCAAATAGCGGCAAATTTAGATTTCATGTATTTGAAAAATTCAAAAAATTCAAATTAAAATATTTTAAAATGTATCATTCAATCAAAATTGAATCATTTCAATTTTCACAACCTCAAGTCATGAATTTTTTCTCATATCTAATTTTTAAAAATACTTCAGATGTGACATACTTCAAAACTTAATTTTGTAGTTTAATCAAAATTTGAAAATATTTTTTCATTATTTAAATATATATATTTCAAAACTATTCATATTTACATGATAAATTTGTAACGCTGAAACTGAAAATCATCAGTCACTCAAAGCAATCAGCACCAGAAAAATGAGAGACACAAGTGTATTTGTGTACTTCATACTTAAGGGCTACGTTCATGGGGAAGAGCATCTTGATATAAAACTGAAAGTTCAGTGTGGTGATACAAAGACCATGGGTATATGTACCTAACACCAAAAACCAATCTCAGCTAAAGATGAGGTTATTCCTGAAACAAAATTAAACTCAACAATATTGAATAATGTATTTTAAAATTATAGCATCTCATTAAAAAATACCACTCAAATTCAGATAAAGATAATAATGTTATAAAAATATCAACAATATGATAACTTCAATATAAATATATTTTGTGAGCAAATGTTAATATATATCATTTCAATCAGATATATAAACAAGTATAAACAAAAGTTATATTGCAAAGATTTGAAGAAAGCATAAAAAATTTCAGATCGCAATAAAATATAATTTTTCATTTTATCTATATTATTTACAGATTCTTCTTACAACTCTATTTTTGTAAATATATATTTTTTGTGATTCAGAAATAATTTTGTGACAAAAATTCTGAAATTTTTTATATTTAAAAAACGTTAAGATTCAACTAATACTTTTTGTCAATTGATGTGTGTGTGTGTATGTCAACTTATATATATATATATATATATATATATATATATATATATATAAAAGTTTCTAACATACATATGAATTAAAACAAACTTGCAGGTAACATTTTTTGACAATCATAAAAAAAAGTTGAGATTCGATGAATTTGTGATTAGTTATTCTTACATCTAATGATCAAATATTTGGGTATGTGAAAATCAAACTTCTTGGAAAAATATTCTCGTGATTAAAAATGTAAACAAAATTTGTAATATTTTTTATATCATATTTATATATTTTTTATTTTTAATATTTTATGTGAAGAAAAAATATTTATATTTATTGCAATATAATTTACTTTATCTAATTTCCTAATTTCTTTCAAATATAACTGCCATAAAATAATATTTCATATAATTTTTGAAGTTTTAATCACAATAGAAGGGTAAAAAATGAAGCAAAAAATTCTAAATTTGTTTCTTTGAATTTTGAAATAATTTCATAAAAAATTCAAGTTATTTATGTTGATAATGATCCTGTATAGATTGAGAATATATATTTTTTAAGAAGATTTTATTTCTGAAATAAGATAATTTTTATTGTTTTAAAATAAATTTGAAAGTTTATTTTATTCCAATCAATATCTTTGAGTGATAGATTGAATAGAGATAATTATATTATTATAGTGATCGGGATACTGTTTTGTTTTGTGTTTGTTCGAGTATATTAGTTGGATTTTTTTATAGAAGTATCACAGTCAGGTTGTGTTACAGTTTTGAAAACAGAATGTATCCTTGAAATCAACAAAATTCTGAAACACTTTTTTTTTTGGAAAAAAAACTCTTTAGAAATTGAGGAACTAATTTTTTTTCCCAATTTGATTCAAATGTTTAATACACGTTTTTCATTTGATTTTTTTTTTCTATCAAGGGTTATCATAATAATCTGCAATTTTCTGAGGTTCAATTTGCTATTCTGTTTAAGTTATATCATTTACAAGGTGATATATATATACATACATATGGAGATTGTTAATAAAATTGTTGACCATGGCTCTGCAGTATTACACTTGGTGCTGGAGAGGCCACTTCTGGATAATGGATAATCAGGTTCACCAATCGTTCAATCATATGTTGACACGTTATTGTAAGATTGGGTGATTTTTGTTTTCCTCCACTTTCCTCTTTCTTAACAGTCAGAAAAATTCTTCATATGATGTGAAGATCGCCTAGGAAATTTTACAAGAACCAAAAAACGACTACGTTCAATCACCCCACTTCGGAAAAATGGGATCAATACAGCACATCTTCAGCAATAATTATTAACTCATAAGGTCGAGTAGATATCCCAGTCATCGAAGTATCACAATCCAAGTGAGCCCATTCGGGGTTCTAATGATTACAGTTTACTTGTTTCACGGATCTATGCATTGTACTTTGCCTTGTACAATATTCGAGATCATACGAATGAGCTGGTAAAAACAGAGGAACCCTCTGAAAGCTCTGCAATTGAAGTGCCATCGAAGTGTCGTACCGGCGTATAATCTCTGGTTTGTGTGACGGTAAGGGTACAGTTGGTTGAGTTGCTCAACCTTGCCAAGTTGATGACATTACGCAGAAACGCACTGTCCATCCGTGGCTACCGATCCAAGGAGTACAGCCGTACAGTTCTGGTCAACAGAGGTATTTTTGCCTGATCCGCTCGAAATTTCCTTGTCGTGGTTGACAAGGTAACGAGCCTCCGATTCAATACCTTGGCAAGTTCATGTTTTGACACATCTGTAAAGACTGCAGGGTTAATCACCTCATACAGCATGATTATGAACACGTGGAGGTTTTGGCCCGCGCAATAATTTGACAAAACACGTCCCCAACATGATTATCACGATCAGTGTCTCATCTACTTTGCATGACACGAAAAGCCACTATTTACTTTCCTGGTGTCACAGAATTCGAGTCCCCATGCAGTGTATTTTTGTGTGGTATAATAAACCTTGTTTTACAGCGCGAAGGATCAAGCCTGGTCTTCCTCAGGTGAATCAATATATGGTTATAGTGGAGGTGTGGATCCGCGGAAATGGAGAAACAGATCGAACCCCGGGGAGCACATCTGTGTACTGTACCCGGAAGATATTCTGCGTTCCAGAAGATGTCAGTTTCTGTTCCGCTAACATGCCTCTAACAAGAAGACATAATGCACATTCGATTCTCATCTGCACATGCGTGAATATACTTTACCGGTGTCAATACTAAGAAAGCATAAAGGTTCAAGAAAAGAGAGAGACTTTTCTGAAGCTCTCCTTTGAACTTTATGCCTTGGAGGAGTAGGGGACTTTTTGTAACAGTCGTCGGGTGCGCCCTCAATACTCCAGGACTCCATCTCCCCCACTACTGGAGCAAGTTGCAGCTCTCCAACAACATCTGGTAAATCCCTAACACACACACACACGGTCAAGACATGGATAGGCTTGGATCTCGTTGCGCACTCCATAATGTGTTATTATTTCGGAACCTGTGTAACAACCATGTCAAGATGAGCGGCGGAGGAGATCGATGCACGACGGTTGGAGGAATCGTAGCCACACGACGTCCAGGGAAATGAGGATGTTGGGAAACCAGGCAGCATCCGGAACAAAAGAGCAGTGAGTCCCCTGGGCTTCGCACCTCACGAGAGTCAGTCACTTCGGAGCTATGCATAGATTGTGCGACATTGTAGCGTGGAGGAATGAAGCCCCTCCAGATCCTCAGGCCATTCATGGCAAGTCTCGGTCACGCTCATCCAAAAGTATCAATCTAACGTGGACGAGACCGCGAAGCGAACGTGGGTACTTACTGATGGGCTCTCTCCTGATCGGAATGTTGAATCCGAAAGATTCTGGGCCTGCAAATAATTTCCTTTTGTGTTACAGTACTCTTTGCATGACGCAGGTTGCTGCCGGAATAGATTATCTCTATCCGACGTGGATCTTCCCGGATCTTTGAGCACGGGCTCTCGGGAGGCCGCTGCCCGAACGATCAGGTCAGCCCTTCGTTGCTCCCCCACGTGCTGCTGCCCTAACGGCTCGATGGGCGGTCTTCGCATCCTTTTCGCTCCATCACTTGGCCCCCTCGTTCCCCTCCTTGTTTCCTAATCCTAACGACGGTGCTTCCACTCCTCGAGCATTTTCCCCGAAGCGTCTGCATCTGTGAGCCCCTGGAGTCGATGCTCAGTTCTGTTTGGTGAACTCGATGGGGGTGGCAGCATTTTATTGCAACCCATTTCAGCGCAACTCATCGATTTTTTGCGCTGGCTCCGAATTTCGGCCCGGATGATGCTGACAAGGTTTGTCCGAAGAGAAATGACTCGATCCAAGGGGGCTCGAGAATGTGAGAATGTGGCGTGGGCTGTTGGTTAAGGATGACGGTAGAAAACTTCGTATGGTCCTTTCAGAGTTGCTATGATGAGTCTCGTCCTTAGACTCTCTTCGGAAGTTTGGAAGATCGATCATATGGGATGAAGATAAGTCAAAGTTTGTTATCCGGAAGCATCCACAGGCCATGCCAGCCCTTCCCCACAACTTATATGTTCAGAGGAGTGGAAAATATGTAGAGGGTAGCTACAGACATGCAAAACATGATAGGGTCTGCAGATGGGGCTTGCAACCTTTAATCGCCGTTATGATCGCCGATTATCATCTTTTCATGCAAAAAGACAGTGCACAGAACGTGGGTTCTTACACCTGTACCATGAGGCATATTGAAAAGCATGGGGACGAAGAAGTGATTCGCCAGAGGTTTTTCCCTTGCCCGTCTGGTTGGTCGCCGACGAGTCTTGTTCGTCACAAGATTTCTACCTTTTCTGGTAACCTGGACGGGTCCACTAGCTGGTGTCGCCCACACAGTCAGCCACTGGACAGATTTTAAAAAAAAATGGAAGACGATAGATTACAGAACTAAATCTATTTCGTTCTGCTGGTTCTTCGATGGTAGAGCTCGTGCATAAAAACTTACAAAGTGTAATATTCTTCGAGGTGTTTACCTCTCTGCTTGTGATGGCATTCCGTACTTGCCAATTCTTACTCTAAAAAAGTGCGATCGACTGGCTCACTTGATCCGGGTTAAAAATATAGTTATCACGCAACTGAAGTAATCTCTCGATTCTCGCTTGGTGACATTGGAATGTTATTGGGTTTAGGTCAAGATATATTATAAATAGCATTGATGGACATGTGCATGAACGCCATGTTATTGATGATCGTTTAGAACTGCCGTAGCGGACGGTGAAAGGGTATGACTTGCATCATGATCACGACGTACAATACGTCGTACCAGGCTGACCTCGCCGTAGCAGGCCACCGCATAACTTCTTTGATGATTAATTCCAGAACAGATGCTATTCCTAAAGCCTCCTCGTTTCAATACATGTAGAATAATCACTCGCCTGATATCGCTGTGGACGGTGGAACCTAACTTCTTGTCATCTTGAAATCTATATTCAGCAACGAAAGTCACTGTTGTTTCAATATGATAGAGGAGGAGAAACCAGTCATTACTCTCCCCGAGGACAATGGCGAAGCATGTAGATGGATACAAATCTCAGCAGTGGTCTTCGATCCTTAATTGTATGCAAAGTCCGGCCATAGTGGTATCTGTTGAGAAAACAGTGGCGTGACAATCTACCAGAACTGCACACATGTGAAGATATCAAGCCGAACAAGGGTCGGCACGTTTTCGTTTGCTTGTCAACTGGGCCAGCTGGCTCGTAATGGTCTGCATTAAACTTCCCTTATCATTTCAATCGAAGGAAAGAAAAAATTATCGAAACCGGGGGCACAAGTAGCATAGCCAAAAAATTGTGGAAAGACCCATCAAGCAGCAGAGGGAGGAAACCATGCGGGAACATGGGGCTAGTATCCAATTGCATCTATACAATAATACATACTATACTGCAACTATGACTATCCATAGAAAGACGAGCTGTTAATTGGCAAAATTCGCCCGCCCCTCCCACTTGGTTCACTTGTTAGGCATCAGAAGTCTTGTCCAGGAGCGGCGATCGGGTGGGACGGGACTTTCACGTGTCATAAATCCTATTTACATCGAGTTTTGTTCCTCTCGACCATCCTATTTTGCATGTCTTTTCAGTGACACAGACGTAGCTACCGTATGTGACACACCCAGTTGGGGACTCGATGCGATATATTAGTATTATTGCATGAGTCGGGTGCCGTGCGAGGCGGTTCTCGATGACTCGGAAGGTGCTTTTGGCGTCGAGGAATGAAGGAGAAAAGTCTCGGAGGAAATTGGTGTCAATGGGCTTAATAAGACTATTCTTAAAAAGCTTTGATGCGAAAGGGCCATGATTTTCTCGATGCTTCTGATAATATCTAGTCGCCATGCACGTTCCAGTGCATCTCTAAACATGTGCATGAAGAAGGGTGCCGGGTCGGATGTTCTCGTCTACGCTGTTCTACTCGACCATGCAACGTCAGCCAGCTCTGAGCTGTGCATGCTCGGCCAGATTCCGAATAACATGAAATGCGAGCCCAAACCCGGTCCGGGTACCGGGAATTGCATTTGGCTCGCAGGGCCGTGCACCGCTCACATCATCTCGCTCATTACGACTCTTTTTTCACGATCGCAGGCCTTTCCAACTCGGAGCTCTGCATTGTCGCAGCGCAGGCCAACAAACCAACAGCGGGCACGTGCAGCGCGACCGCCGCTATGATCCAAACAGCACCTGATCGCTGCACCACGCTACAGACACGGGCTGCGGCTCGGACGTCGCTCTTCATGGCCGCGTCTTCTGATGCCGGTCGATGTCGAGGGTTAGAGTTAACTCGACGGCCGGTTCGAACCCTAAACCGCGGTGGCCGCCCGGTCTTGTCGCTCTCGACTCGAGAGTCGTCGACTGTCTCATCTCAGATCCTGGGCCGTGCCGTGCCGTGCCGGGAGCAGAGTCGTAGACGGTTGGTTTGACTTATGGCATCAGAGGGTCGGCAACGGAGAAGTCGGGACTGGGACGACGCCGTCGGTTCGGCACCGAGGCGCGAAAGACATGGCATGACGGGGCACCGATGTTGACCCGACGCCCCCCTCCCTCCCTCCCTCCCTCCCTCTCACGGCGCTGGCGTGGGCGAGCCTGGGAGCTGAAAGGAGCAGCTGACTTGGCGCGCCGAGATTTTGATCGGAGTTACGCTTTCTTCGAGCGCCGGGGCGCTAGGCCGGGCGGGCAGCGGTGCGCCATCGCCGTGGTCGCAGCCGGTCGATGGTTGGAGGGCGTGGGGGCCGGCATGGGATCCTTGTGATAAGGCCCTCGTCTCCTCCCTCGCCTCTCCGCCTCCTGCCGATCGGTCGACGTGAATGCGGGACAGCAGCGCCGGGGCTCGGCTGCGGGCTGCGGGCTGGTGGCTGGTGGCTGGTGGCTGGGGCTGGAGGAGTCGTCCGAATTTGTGTCCTCCCTCTGGCGCAGCAGTGGGGCAGCGAGGGCAGCGGGGGCAGCAGGGGCGATAAAGAGCGTGGGGAGTTCGTTTCGGGAAAAGTACAGAAGTCGGCCTCCGGGTTTTCGGCAGTGGGCGAGCCAGTGAGGAAAGACATGTTATGAGAGAGAGAGAGAGAGAGAGAGGGAGAGAGAGAGAGCTGAAGAGGTTCGGCGGGAGCGCCAGGCATGGCCATGCATGCACGCCCTGCTACGTGCGCTTGCCATGGCGCGGATCAGTCGCTGTCGATGGGAGATGATGAGCGTCCAGCGTCCGGCGACGGAGGTCCGTCGGTTCGCTCGATGGCGCTCGGTGGTGGCCATGGCATGGGCCGGTCGGTCGGCCAGTCAAGCACGCCGCAGCAGCAGCGGCAGCGGCAGCAGCGGTCTCACTCAATCACTGCTGCTCGTCGTCGCTCAGTAGCTCACTAGTAGCTCACGCACTCGGTCGGGCGGGCAGGCAGGCAGGCAAGCAGGCGGGCGCTCGCTTACTCAGAGCCAGCTTCGAGCTTGTCTGCTAGCAACGCGAGCTCGATCCGCTGGCCCATGCACGAGGAGGGGGAGCGTGCATGAGTCGTTCAGCTCAGCTCGCTTCATTTCTCATCCTCTGCCCCCCGCGGCTGGCCTCGAGTGGGGAAGTATTTCTCCTCGCCCTTCCTTCGCCCTCTCGCAAGCGCCTCTCTGTGCATGGGCCTCTGATACGTGACGATTCACAAATCCCTTCTCGTCCCCGGGCCTATGTGCCCTTTTCCCCTCTCTTCCGTTCCACGCACGGTTCGTGTCGTGGACTAGTTCTTCGGACCCCACGCATCATCCTGTGCAATTTGGGGAATTCTTTTTTCTATGGCTCGGAACAGCGGCCGAGGTTTCCGACCGAGTACGCTTTAGGGGCAGTCGGAAGAACTTGGAGGTGACTCCAAATGTTTTGTCGGCTTGTTTATTCATTTCTGAGCTCATTTACTCCTCCGGACCTCTGTTAGTCGCCTCCCGTCTGCATCACGAGCTCGTAATTGAGCTACATTCATGCCTACACCAGTGACCGCATCCGGTCGACATAAGTGAACTTGACGGCAAGGCGTTTTCTTCGCGATCTCATCCACCAGATTGTGTCAGCCGGCTCGTGATCTACACTGTTAGTGTCAAGCCTCGGCAGCATGGCCGAGTTGAGGTTGATGGTGACGGGAGTCCTTAGATTGGCCCAGCGACCGGTTGCTTGTCAATTCCAGACGAGCACACTGCGGCCGCGCGGTTTCTACTCAGCATGCTTGTGATTTTCTCTCCGGAGTGAGGTCTTAGGGTTATCACACGGGTCACAACATCGACCTTCTCTTCAATCCAGACGTCAGGCAGGCGTTAAGATTTAGGTCGGCAGGGGCTGATGAGCACACCGTATCAACCGATCAAGGACTTGCAGATCTGAGCAGCTTACAGCCATTTGTAGCTCTCACAGGCTGAATTTCAAGCGAAGACCATAGGCTGGGAAGAGCAGGAGATCTTCGTGTGTGATGGAATGGATTTTTATAGCTTGAGCGGAGGATGGATCTTGGATGAATTACTGATGAATACTAATGACTGGTGAGCGGTTTACTCGTCGTTTTTGAAAATGGATACTCGCATGGAGCGGGCCGGACCCGTTCCGCGAAAGGTCTGCATGAATGTCAAATGTGGTACAAGTAGCTCCAACAGTTGGAAACCGGGCTGGCAGCTGCGCTCGGGTCGAGCTTGCGAACTATGTGAACCATGCGGGTACGAACTTTATTTTGTACCTCCTCTTCTTTCTGTTTTCCGATTGGCTCTCAATGATAGAATCGGATCCTTCTAATCACGAATTCATTTCTGCCATCTAAAATTATATGCTCACACTCAGTTCTTTGTAGTAGTCAGTTGTTGTGAAGGGATCTTGTGAATTCAACTCCACATAAACTACTTACGTATGGAATAAGGTAATGAGCGAGTTGATCGAACTTCAATTTACTTCCCCTCCGTGAATTAATATTCAGACGTCATCCTTAAAGTTTATTTTGGCCAAGTATATTTTCAATTACGAGTGGCGGCCACAGACGGCAATGAAGGCAGACTGAATCCCCCCTTTAAACGGGCGATATTCATCTTCACTTCAACTAGAATGACTTAAGCACCAACTCATCAAGTACCGGGTGTTGTTAACTGATATATGAACGACTTTCTATAGAAGCATCAAATGGTTTTTTTTGGTGTGTGTAGAACCACCTCGTCTGAAGGTCACTACTTATGCTTACTACAGTTGACATGCTTTGCTACAAAATTCGCTTCACATCTGACCCGCCCTTTTTCCCTTTTAGAGAGAAAAGGTTTATGACAGATATTCCTGTCCCCGTTGTATGACTTCGAGACAAACTGAAAATCATGTTTCTCGTTAGTTTCACTCGTATTTAGATTATTCTGCTTCTGGAAAAGTCGCAGTTGCCAGAGTGCAGGTTGTATCCATGAACTTGCGCTTTTAGGGAGGACAGTTGATGCAGTGCCGAATGAACCAAGTTTAGTAGAATTGTAGCGTCGTGTGATGTCGATGAAGGTTCGTGGAGTAGTGTCAAGAATCCAGACTTTATTGCTCACCTTGTACAGATGATGGTTATACCGTATGATATGTCATCTGCATGTAATTGAGGTGTCGCCCTTGCTATGCAATCTTCATCAACCAATAATGGATGCTATGTCTGTCCAAATTTTTAATCAAAGACTTAAAGATAATGCTTCACACAGAGTAACACACACACTACAAAATCCCTGATTTGTGACCTCAATCACTACTTCTTTTTACGGCAAGTCATGTTTTTAATTCCACGAGGGTGTTTTATCACAGTTGGCTGATTTGGAAGTAGTCTCTCCTGCGTTTTGGCATCTTCCTGTGTTATATGTGGCTTCTTTTCTCTTCTTTGTCTTGGGAGTTCTCTGTGCCGCTTTCTTTGCGAAGGTATTTACGTTCTGCGGTAGTGGCCCCAGTTCCCCTACTACTCGAAGTAGTTGTATCGTCTATCACTTCGAATTTGCCTGGAGACCATCTTTTACTGTAGTAGTCTACTACTGAACGCATCTTCTCGGTTACAACATAGATTGAGCTGTGGATGTCAACCCACATTACCAGCCAGTATATGTATGATACGTTAGGTTCATGCAGTTACTGTAAAGAGGTGATTTTTGCTATGTTTATTCAGTTACTTTTGGAAACGTGACAGTAGGTAGGGCTGTAATTTGGTTAGCAGTAAATTAGGGATATGTTAAACTCTTGTATCGGGTCTCGCATTGCATATTGGCTTCTCTGTTGCGGTTTGTGATCCTCATCCTCACATTCCGCATCCCACATGATTCTGTATGGAACTTTCCGGCCCGTTCTCTCATTGTGTTTCAATGAAGTTCTCAGTACATCGACAACTCTGGATGGAATGAAACATTGTGTTAACTCTCTCGTTCCGGGTAATTTCGTGTCAAGAAGTTTTTATTTGCTCTTTTCAATTCTATGTTCTCAAAACACAGATAGCAACGCAACGGTTCTTCAATCTACCTTTTTCATATACCACTCAAACCAACTTCATCCCCTTAGTATAGGTAGTCTATGAATTCTTTTCTCACGCGTTTCCATTTCCTTCTTTCCTTTTTTACCGCAGGTCTGTGTTCGACCAAGGGCGTTTTTGCGAGACTTTTCACTCCGATGATGCAGGTTGGAGAACATGCAATGCTTGCAAGAAGGTGGGGCACCCTATATTGATATTAGTTTTTCTGGTGTCTCTTGTTGTAGAGTTGACAACAGAGTTGACAGTTGACAACAGAGTTGTTGCCTGAGTTCGGAACGGTCCATACTATTCCAAGTTTGAACACATGATTAAATAATCAAGAAGCGAAACAGTCTTGTGACATCTGACATCTCACCAGGTCTCTGACCGTCTTGTGTGTTTTACAGCAATTTTTAAGTCCTAAGCGTTATTCTGACATAACCTGGCTTGCTCCGTTGTGCAGCGTGTACATTGTGGATGCATCGCCTCGTTGTACTCATTTGTTCTCCTGGATGCTGGTGGGGTGGAGTGCTTTTCTTGTGCTACCAAAACTGCACCTGCATTGGTATGTACAATATGCTCCAATACACCTCAAACCGAAAGAAACTTCAAGGTTGCATTTTTTTGAACCTTGGCTTCTTGGTGGTAGTCGTCGACCTCATTGAAGAGGTCGGAAGCCCTTTGAAGAATTAGCTACGAGAATATCTACAATATGGCCATAATATCGGGAAATGAAGGCTCTGACTTAATGGGGGTTACTTGTGTGAGAATAGGCACGATGAATGTACAGGTGAAAGTTTTATGGACTTATCTTATGCTTCCACTCTGTCCAGATCGCTCACTTATTTGCGTCAATTAGCTAATACTTAAGTCTAAGTTTAAGTTTGAAAATCAAAACCTGTTCATATAGCACAAACTTTTCTCACATCCAAGTCAAAGGTTAATGTACACTTTTGGCAAGAAAATTTGTTACCACGAGATGATTTTATTACAGGTTGTATACTGATGCTATCGTGGGTGCCAGCATGGATCAGATCTCTAATGTTTGACTTTTATTGATATTTTGCACTTTCTTGCCACCGTCCAACAGCCCTTGAAGCATTTACAGCACTCAGTAGTTCCTCCTGCCCCACAGCCTCAAAGAGTGGATCCTCTAGCTGCTAGAGGCTGGAGTGAAACCTTTGGAGCCAGAGCAGCAAGGAACATTGAAGTGGGGACGACCTGGCAGCCTTATTCTTCAGCTTGGTACCCCCCAAACACTGCGGGATTTCCGATAGTGAGACTTCAGGCTGAACTTGATCGACCTGTCGAAGGAAGCCATGCCGAGCCAACTCTTAAAGGGTTGGTAATCAGAAATGAAGACGCTTACCCGGAAAGCAAATTTCCGCCCACAAAGGATTCCTCTGCGTCTGCCGAGCATCCACGGGGAGACTCACCTGATGGAGAGCTACACGCGGTGGAGAGTAGCCCAACATGCTTCTCTAGAGATCCGGGTGCTGTCGGACCAGATAATGTACAAGGTGATTGTGATGGAGAGTCATTGCGAGTTGGTGTTGCGACGTCAATTGGTTTGGAGAATATAATCGGAAGTTCCGGTAAAGTTGGTGTTGATGTGACTCGAGTAATTACGGGAAAGAGTTTGTTTCCGACTCAGGACCTACTTAATGCTGGACCTTCCACAGGATTAAGCATGTCTATCGGAACATCTGCCAGGAAGGAAGGTGCGGGCGAGGGAAGCCAACAAGGAGGTATATTGGGACCAGCTGGTGCGCTTACTACGCCAGCTGGTGCTGGATCGTCTGGTGTAAGTGCGGAGTCAAGGGATCTGGCCTCTAAATTTACCGGATTGAGTCCATATCGTTCCCGACACAGACAACTTCTACCTCGACCATACCATGCAGGGACAGCTTCTCCGAATTCTAATGCTGAAGTGAAAAGCAACGAAGCCGGATCAGTGCGAGTTGCTCGCCCACCAGGTCAAGGAAGGGGCCGCAACCAGTTGCTACCTCGGTACTGGCCGCGTATAACCGACCAAGAGCTTCAGCAGATAACTTCGGGAGAGTATCCTTTTAACAAAATTCTTTCCAAAGAAACAATTACAGGTTGTGATTCACCAGTTTACTTTCGACTATGTTAGTTCGCTTTACTTCTCTCTTCTCGTTAGTCTTAACCTGTTGTCAGTTCAAACGCGACCATCACACCCTTGTTCGAGAAGATGCTGAGTGCAAGTGATGCTGGTCGTATCGGGAGGCTGGTCCTTCCAAAAGCTTGTGCAGAGGTACAATACTAACGCGCGTTGAGAGTGCATATATCTTATCTCTGAGCCAATATATTGCGACAATTTTGGAAGAGCTGTTTTCTTTTTAGGCCATGGATCAGCCTATGACAGGCAAATATCATTGATTACGATATTTCTTATATTCAGTGATTGTTAGCCTTGTACTTGTCTGCAGTATGTTACTTGGGGGAGACATAAATATTTATGATGATTGATCTTCGTACATTCTATGTGCTTGCTCGGAAGAGAAACTGATAAGTTTTCCGGTTTCATGTCGTCCAGGCTTACTTTCCTGCAATCTCACAACCAGAAGGTCTGCCTATGAAAATTCAAGACATTACAGGAAAGGAGTGGCTATTTCAGTTCCGTTTCTGGCCCAATAACAACAGCAGGATGTATGTCTTGGAAGGTGTCACCCCCTGCATACAATCAATGCAGCTGCTCGCGGGCGATACTGGTAAACACTCTCTTGCACGGAATGCTACTTTCCAGGCTTTTTTCCACATCAGGGATTATTTAGATTGGACTGATGCGGGCTAGGTGATGAGGTTACATGTCTCTTCTGTAATATAAGGATTTACCGATTATTTCTACAGACGTCCCCGTCGCTAGCGAAAAGTATCTATCTTGGAATTGGGGGTAGTCCTGCGGCGTTTTGACCTCGAAAGTCATTATCTGTGGATGATTGATTCTGATGTTTCATATTTAAAAACTACGGAGTCATAATCATTGTTTTCTAACTACGTGGTTGAGAAGAACACGTTTAACTTTGGCTACCTTTTGGCTACCAATTTTAATTATCACTGAGATCTGTGAACTGCCATTGGGCATCTCCTTAGACTCTGCATCTTCCTAGATTTTCGTTTCAGGTCAAACATTTCCACGGGCCTACATATTTAGTGAACCATTAGTTTTCTGCATTATCACGTCATAAATTATAAATGCATCCTTGTTGCCTGGTATCCATATGGATAAATTCATCAAAATTTTGTCTCTTTTGAGCTGATTCTTAATGCCTGATTTGATCAATAATAAATGAAATCAAGCGCGACTCTGGATCTAGAGAAGTGGGAATCTTGAAGGAGGAGCGATCTTATTTAGTCAGTTGTGGCTTTGATGTCTTATGCAGTCACGTTCAGTAGACTAGATCCAGAAGGAAAACTTGTCATGGGTTATCGACGAGCTCCAGCTTTGCTTACTTCTCAGGTCTGAATCAGCTTTTATTTTATGCTAGCTCTTTTTTTCCATTTTGTGCATGTGAATTATTTAAAAGTTAGAGATGATGTATTGTGTAGTGCTATCTTCATGTTACGGCTGAATTTTTGTTTTGGAGGCAGATTAGGTTTCCGTATTCCTTCTTTTGATGTTATTATTCTATACCGGCAATTGCAGCTTACATTGAAAAACAAGCGCGAATGCGTTAAGTTTTTGTTGCTAAACAGTATCTGGCTTAATAATGAACATTTTATCGAATGGAAGAAAATAAGGCATCTTGGAACGTTAGTTAGAAACCTTTTTTGTCAGATTTCTAACTTTGTCTTGTATTTATCAAATTTAAGAATCATAACATCTGGAATTCTATTCTGTCAGTTTCATGCATGCAGCATCTGACTTCTTTTTGTATACAAGCCTTGTAAGTCACTTGATTTCTCCAGGTGGTTACTGTATGAGTAGAATTTTGATGGTAGGAAGAGCTGGCTTGTGTGCTTCAGGATCCTAAGACGGCCACGAGGGGCACCTCCGCTAATGTGTCTAAGGGTTTAAGTTGTGGAAGTATTGACGGCCTTTATGCCAGTACTGGAGCATCGTTGCTTTCTGTCAGTGCAAACGCAGAAGCACGAAATAAGTCAGGCCAGAGCGATGTGTCAGACTCAGGGTATGGATGGTCTAAAGCTGAGAAAGGCATGGGAAAGGAAGGCTCAATGCTCGAAGCCTTGTCGCAGGTGGATAGAAAGCAGCGAGGGCGTCCTCTTGGTGGGAAGAGTAAGAGGCTTCGCTTAGAAAATGAAGACTCTTTAGAACTGAAGAACAGTTGGGAAGAAGCTCAAGAATTACTGAGACCACCCCCATCTGTGGTGCCAAGTATTGTGACCATTGAGGGTCATGAGTTTGAAGAATATGAGGTAAAGAAGGTTTCTATTGTGATTTATCATATGGCTCTTAAAACATTTGGTAATTTTCTTTCCCTTTTTGAAATCTGGAACTGTGACATTAATCTTATAAACAATTGGTTTTCGCAGGAACCACCAATTTTTACCAAGCGGACAATCTTCACCTCAAGACAGTCTGGGTAAGCCCTGCATACATATGTCATTTCTTTAAAATTTGATCAACTTTCCTGAATCTAATCATGTTTCCTCTTGCCTCATTTCCTCTTCCTAGGGCTCGCTATCTGTTCTTGTCGATTGAGGAATGTGAGGGTGCTCCTTGCAAGTGATGCAGGGAACAGGACCAGTGGGCCCAGTGTGACGAGTGTGGTAGCTGGAGAAGAGTCCCCCCAGAGGTCCTAGTAACAGCGAGATGGACTTGTACTGATAATACTTGGGATCATAAAAGGTATATCAGGACTTCCTGCCCTCCTTGATGTGTTGTTTTCTCTTTGAGAGTTCGTGTATATTTAGAAGGGTTTGTCGTTTTGTTGTTCATATAGCTCCCCACCTCTTTCATGTGTTCATTTTATGTTTTACGTAACTGGATCTTTTGTTGCTTGGACTTATTGGGTTGTGGTCTCTCAACAGGGCGATGTGCAGTGCACCCCAGGAGCTGAGCAATGATGATGTTGATCACCTTTTGGGGCTTATTCCGGGGGAAGGCAGGTTTCTGAAATTGTACCGCCGCTTTTTTGTTGGTCATACCAATTCATAGTTGCTGTTATAGGAGTTGGAACCAGTAGGCATAGTACTTTAACTTGACGGGAAATTCATATGAGCATTCATATGATCATTTTAAGGCTTACATTGTTAACAGCTCTGTCAGGTGAACGTTTGTGAACATGTGTTCTTTAAATTTGTTGTTTTTATCCTCCTGTGTGGTTTAGGACCTGTGTAAAGAGCCCATTTTTTTCAACTAGGAGTGTGGTGTGGGGATTTTCCGGCTATTGTCGCCGATTTTGGGTTGAGGTTGTAAGCGTTCTGTGATCAGTTTGGTTTGATTTTGAAAGTCATTGTAAAATAGACCATTTGCTTCGTGTCCAGAATCTGTAGTTTGAGATAATACTAGTATATGTATTGACCCTGGGAACTTTATGTATAATTTACTGAAGCTTTATAATTATGGAGCGGCTTGTTATCCCTCAGTTTAGGCTAATTATCTCTCACCCTACTATACTAGGGTGAAGGATAATTAGCCAAGTAACCCAAGTGGTTGGACGAGTTTTCGATCGGGCCCTTGGCCGGTGACAAAAGCCTGAACGAAGAATCCGAACATGGAGAACATTTCGAGCCTTCCGTTCTTCAACTCCTTCACCTTCAGCTCGGCGAAGGTGTCGGGGTCCTCAGCCAAGTTCAGGGGGTCGAATTGACCTCCGGGGTAGATCGGGTCGCTCACCTTTCCCACTCTGTATATCTCGATGGCTCCCATGAGCACGACCTGGCAGGCCCAGATGGCCAGAATGCTCTGCGCACGGACGAGGCCAGAGTTGCCGAGGTAGTCCAGACCTCCCTCGGAGAAGATCTGCGATCCGGCCTTGAACCAGACTGCCTCGCCGAACTTCACTCCGTTTTTGGCCAGCAACTCGGGGGTCACACTTCCCAAAGCTCCCAACATGGCCCATAGGGCGTGGATCAACTCCAGCTCCCAGTTCTTGGCGAAGGTCTCGGGGTCGGCAGAGAGTCCGGCGGTGTCCCAACCGTAGTCAAGTCACCGGGGAACTCACCGGTCAAGTACGATGGGGTGGCACCGGAGAAGTGGCCCAAGTACAGACTTGGTTCGGTCCGGAAGGGCCCGATCGAGAACTTGTCCGACCACTTGGGTGACTTGGTTAATTATCCCTCACCCTAGTATAGTAGGGTGAGAGATAATTAGCCTAAACTGAGGGATAACTAGCCGCTCCCTATAATTAATGCCTTCTATATAACACTAGCATTTCGTTCTTTGTCTCCATGCTTCTTTCCATCCATAATCCATTGTCGTCCTTGAGACTTAGATATGCTTTGGGGCCTTGCATGTAAACTCCTGCGGTTGATCCTTTACTGTTTTATCTATCTCACACTGGCCTATTCTGATTTTCAGCTCGTGTTTTTCCGGAAGCAACTGGTTGTCTGACTGACTAGGATTGTAGACTTCAATAGCATTCTTGATCCTTTGAATCACGTCAGAACGTGTGTTTATCTCATGAGCTTATATCCTCTTTCTAAGTGCTCGTCCTACTAGCTGCTGTGGTGCAAATTTATTCAATGTTCGGTTTTGTTGTTTTCGTTCTGTACAGAATTTGCGATTCCAGAAAAGAACGATACTAAAGCGGTAGGTTCTGGGCCTATGGTGGTGGAGACTTCAGCTGGTTTGGATGCTTTGGCGATTGCAGCAGCTATGGGGGAAACTGGTAGAGTTTCAACCTCACCATCGTCTCCTGCACGAACCACTAAGCATCCGCGGCACCGGCCTGGCTGTACTTGTATTGTTTGCATACAACCACCAAGTGGGAAAGGTCCTAAACACAAACAGAACTGCCTGTGCAATGTTTGTGTCACCGTTAAAAGACGGTTCAAAACTTTAATGCTGCGTCGCAAAAAGCGGCTGTCTGAGCGTGAAGCAGAAGGTTACGTAAGGAGGAAACGCAAAGATGATGTCGAGGTCAGCAGCAGTTCGAAACTGGTCACTGATGCTGGTTCGTTAGCGGATGGTGGCTCTAGGCATGAAAGTTCGGGTGGTGGAACCGTTGTGGAGGGACCAAGAAGAGACGATGCCTTGGTTGCAGATATTAGCAACAGTTCAGGCTTAACAGCATTTGGATTATCCTTCCCGAGCACAAACGCAGGGGAAGATGCTCTTGTGAGCAAAGGACAAATTGATCTTAATAGCCAGCCAGAGCGGGAGGAGGAACCTACGAAACTGGGTAGAGTAAGCATGAAACAGCTGTTACAGGATGCAAGTCAGCCTCTTGATACATATTTGAAGCAGCAAGGAATGACCAGTCTTTTCGGTAGTCAGGCAGCCGAGACTTCAGGTGCAGTAGGACACTGCGGAGGCAATAGTGAGAAGAAGAGTGATGAGCAGAGTAGCAGCCAGTGTCAAGATCACTCGAATGAAGAAGCTTCTCAGACTTCCGCCAGGATTCAAGGAGACAGTGCTGGTATCCCTAATCAGGCAGGTGCTCAAACCCAAGCTCGAATGCAAGGTTTATGCAGTTGGATCTAGCTGACTCACAACAATCCTCCCTTTACTGCAAGTTTAAGACAGCAGATATTATGATGTCTCGTGGACCTTTGCCTGGCCCCGCTTCCAGGGCCCTGGTGAACTCCATGAATTGAGACTAAGGGCCAACTTGACGTGCAGGTCTCCAATCAAATATCATGAGTATTCTGGTGACTCTATACATTCCAGTACATCTAAAGAAGACCCCTTGTTAGCTGAGCTTGGTGCAACAGCACCTGCAAAGATGTTTGCCACGGGTTCTGGAAGAGGACGGCAGATCTGCAGTGGCTGTCATCAGCCTATTGGTTGAGCTGCTAAGGTTTTTTCTTTAACCCACGTATAAACTATACGATGTGATGCTGTTGTTCCTTTTTGATGATTGGGTTGAGTTCTTGGTCGATGGTTCATCCTTAATCTGTGACTGCTTACTCAGCACCTTAGATTCCTAGGTGGGTTTGGTGATCTAAAGCTGCAGTGGTGCCGCTCGCCTCTTTAGCTGGATTTTGGTAATGCAAGAGGATAACCCTGGTTTGTAGCTGAGAGGTTAAAAGGTTATCTTCACTGGTTTATTGGGGGAGTCTACGTATTCATGCCGTTGTGCATGTAATACGCTGAGAACTCAAGCAAACTCATCTAGTCATCTGTTTAAATCTATCCGCACTAATGGGAAGGCGAAACCGATGGCGATTGTATAATATAGATACGTTCAAGCCAAACTTTTGTACTTCAATAGAAGTCGTACATCAAGTTGTACATCCTTCAGATCTTGCTTTCTTAAAATATCAAATAAGTGATTTTAGGAAGTACGCAGAGTTGAAGTACGTATAATAGAGCCATTTTTTTCTACGTCCGAATGACACTTCGGTACCGTTTTTGAAATATTCTGAGGATTAAGTCTTAGCTCTCTATGACCCAGGTTTGCAGGCGCTGTGGAACACGCATCACCTTGGGTAAGAAGAGAATATCAAGGGGCCTACCCTCCACAGAAGTCTGAATAAGTGCTCATGACTACCTCCTGATGGGATGCCGACGAAAGGAGGAAAGGGTTGATGCTGAAGAACTCTCCGCTGTTGTAACAGGTTTCTGGAGAGGTTTGCTTTGTTGATGGAGTTTCTCCTCCCGACGTGTTCTAGAATTCATCTTGGTCTTCAAGATATCTGTAATGATTGTATTTGTATTGTGGGTTACTCACTTGTTCCCTTCACAACTCGGGTAGTTTTATTATTGAAGAAGCTGGAAAGTCAACTATCAATGTTGTAGGAAGAGATTAGGTCGACGAACACGAGTCCGTCATGTAGATGATAAATTGACTTAGGAATTCTAATTGTGACTACTGTAATTAATTTTGTAGCCTACATTGGTCATCAGATCTTCATTGTCAAGCTTTTGCCTGGTACCTATTTTTTAAAATATATTGTTACTCATTCTTGAGGAGCCCTTTGAAGCTCTTCCATCGTTCACTTCAACTGCTAAGGCTTCACCGAAATTTATAGATCAAGCGTTTTGAAGCTCACATGTGTCTTTGAACGTGATAGTTTGATGTGCTTTTTAGCTCGCGCGGATATATCTTTCGTTGAGTAGTTGTTGGCGAATAGGAAACGATGTAAGTTGGCTCGAATCATGGTCAGGAATAGCTGCACTGATTTTTGAGAAAATCATTCACTACCTGTCAATTGAATATGACTTTAATTGGACGTATTTTATCAATATTTTGCACGCTTCTGCATATCTGAGCACTTTATTATCCATTATTATCAACTTTCGAATGTGTCCAAACTTCCAGATCACGAGACCAATAGTTGAATATTGTTCAGTTAACACGATGAGCTCGAGACTGGACTTACGATCATTAGCGATGATTTTTTTACGTTCAACTTGCCAGTTTACACGTGAAGGTTTTGGAGCAGCGGATGCTGCAGCGACTCTAAGTAGCCATTGCAATGATCGTCGTGAGGTTATAATAGCTATGTACACATCAGTACTAGTACCAAGTACTTTGGATTGCTCCCTCAAAGCGAATCATGAACTTTTGTCTTTGCAGTCAGGTCCTTTCCGCTATGTCGTCGTGTGAACCATTAGCTTCTTATCTAAATTAGGTGGCTTATCGGATATTTGAGTACTGGGCGTTTTGCCACATTTCATTTCTACTACGTTCAAGGTGCAGTCCTATCCAGTTGTGTTGTACTCAAGCACGACCAAAACAGCAGGGCGAGTGTTGAGATGAATCTGTTATCTTGTACCAAGTCGTTCGCCAAAAAGCTTCAGGAAGTCGAGGAGGAACCTGAGTTGGTATCACATCACCGTTTATCTCGAAAACAAACTCAAAGTGTCATATCGAAAGATATCAACTCGGGCTTGTAGATGTTGTACCTCCAATGTGGATTGTTGAAGTCACAGCACCACCTCGGTACTTGCTTTAGAACACGTCTTTTTTAGCTTATTGTGTACCATTGGAAAAATAATTGATTGTCTTTTAAATCCATCTACCAGAATGTACGCTTGCTTCGTCAACTACCGGATTTATTCATTTTTAATCAAAAAAGGTAATTGTATATCTCTTGATATTTTGCGTCAATACTCTCAACATTTTTTTCGGCGTAGAAATACCTCACCGAAAACCCTCTGGTCACAGAAACATCTGATTATCCTTAACTTCGTTTACGGCACAGTGTCAGAAAGTAACCTGATGCACTTATATCAGGAGATTTTAATCTCACGAAATTATGGTTGCTTTCAAGGCTAGAGCGACTCTTAAACCCTCAGTTTCAGAACATGATATATTCTAAATCTTGATATCTGCAAGAGCATGAAGCCTTAGGTTATCGTGTACATAGTAAACTTATATAATATACATTAGGTAAAAAAAGTATTTATAAATCAAAATATATGTTCAGTCAAAATCTTTGAATATCAGGTAGAAAAGAAAATGAAACCTTTGAGACCTACAATCTGCCAATTTAAACCGAAAGTTATATCCACCCTTGTTTGAAAATTTGATACATATAAAAAACAAGTATCGAAGCATATGTACTGTATTGGATTCAGCAAGACAATATAAATCAGCACATTTTGACCCAAGATGTCCATATGCAGAAGATAACTGGACGAGAATTCTTCACTCTTCTACAGATTCAGGTAATCGAGCTCCCTACTACACTCAGTTGGAAGATAATTCCCGTTCATCAACATTGCGATATGAATTCAATAGGGGCTCCAGGGCCACGAGGGGGAAGGTAAATCTATGCGAGACAAGAAGCGTGGCCGGAATGACTGCGTTCGCCTCAGAGCAACACGACACGACAGTCCAAGACCTAAACCCCTCGGGGTTTCTCTTCTCCATACACAGAGGTTACTGTGATGACCCAGCGGATATCTATCGATCACCACTCTGCTGTTCTGTGGTGCGCAATTGGAAGGAAGAACGAGACGGAAGGGGAGGGTCGGCGTTTCGAGTCCGCCGGTTGCTTGAAATTTCAATGCGATGGCCGGAAAGCGCAGGGATGTAGGATATTCTCGGACTCCACCGAATCATAAAAGGTCCAAGTTTTCAAAGTCTGATGGGACGCGACCAGCACCTGCACATTCTGAGTGGGCGCAGAGGAGCTCAAATGACAAGCTTTCACGTCATCCCAACAAGAATCGTGGCTCCCGATTTAAACAAGGTGAAATTCAGTTTCACACTGTGTTATGTTCACCTTGCTGAACAATTTAGGCACGTTCGGTCTGCAGACTAGAAGTTAGTTGACATTGGTTGCATTAACAGGGTATAGAATCCTGGGACAGCATTCTGGATGTTGGGGAAAAAATTCAGAGTTACATATTCTTGTCTACCACCGCCCTTGGAGGTTTGTGGAATTGTTTGTCGTCTGTAATTGAAGTCTTTCGCTCTTGATAATATACAGCAAATACGTGATGAATGTACGAGCAAATTCGCTTATTCTTGAGCTCAGGTCTCATCACGTGGGCCCGGTTCAATTATTTTGAACTATTGATTGAGGACCTGTCCGCAGTAAATCGTTCCTGTTGGTGGACGTTGGCACCAATTTGATACTAGGACCTCTTTTATGAGATGGTGTTTTCTTATTCAAAATGTAATGTTCATGCGTGAATTTTCTGGCTGTTCTAGTTCCATAATTTGAGATCCATTCTTTCAGCAGGGAATCGCAATGATTCCTCTGTGACGACGTAAAGTAGGTTCCTGTGAGTTGGAAGTTTGACAGGGAGGTTCAAATTGCAGGAGCGAAGATTGTTGAAAAGGTTGTAAAGAAGGAGGAGGTAAAGGAAGAGGAAGAGGAGGAGGTTTTGAACTTTTCGGGAGACGAGACAACAGCTTACAATGTTCTCTTGACTTCTTTGCACGCCAAAGGCGGCTCATTTGCAGATGCCTATGCGCGGAGGTATTGTATTTGAATTGTCAGAAATTACAGTGTGCACGTTTAATGGAGTTGTCTATGTATCTAAAGCTTTTCTCACTTCGCATATTTTATCTTCATTTGTATTAGAATGTATATTTTTGTCTTCTAATTTTCTGTCACAGACAGAGAGAAGAGCAGGGCGCGAGCAGTTCTGACGAGGATGATCTCGGTGAACCAGAAGAAGAGGATGAAACTGCCGTTGATGCCAGTGAAGATGATGGTATGAACTGTTTGCTGTCGCTGTCTCCATATCTTCTGTCACGTGTATTGGCTTTTTCTGCTCCTGTGCTTCTGCACCGTGTGTAGTGTACGAGTGGAATTCGATGTTCCTGATTGAATTCTTAGTGTAGTAGCTGTACCACCTGCTGGTTGAGTAACGTGATTCGATGGTGCTCCTTGTAATACAGGTGCTTCTATCGAGCTACCCCTTGAAGAGCTTGAGGGTGCTGAAGATGACGACGATGAGTCGATAGAAGATGATGGAAACGATGATGAAGACGGGAGTGACGACAAGACTGATGAGAAAGCAGATACTGTCGTGCAGAGTGAGGATGAGTCAGAGGACGAAAGTGATGATGAGACTGATGCACGGGCTGCTAGTGTCGGTCAGGCCGGTACATGTCAAGAGTGAGTCTAAACTGACTATGTTCTTTGATATTGTGTATCATATTATCCAATAATTGCTTAATTAGCAGTGAAGTTGAGAAATATTACCGGATCATTTGATGATGCGTGAAGTTGAATGTTGTTCTTGACGTCGCTGTATGATAAAAGTATCTGACATCCAGAAAACTTACAAAACATAAAGTTATGCTATCCAGAGTCCCATCGACTACTGTATCATGAGTGAAGGATTTCTTTGCTTCTTGGAAAAGTAGCGGTAGGAATCATCTCTCACTTTGACATGAGCTACTGCATCTATGGGGCAAGGTTTGACACAGAGGTAGGCCATGCAACGATAAATGACCTCGTGCCAAACTTATCTACAAAAGAAGCTTCTCGTACAGTAAGTCAACACTGAGAACGTTGCACATCGTTTTCTGATGAAGTTCAGACTTCTATTCCGCGCGAAAGTGGTAGCAGTAAGTTTAGCTTTGATTTGAAAAGAGTTGTTGGAACTATGGGGCACAGTAATCTTACACAGTCCAGTCCATTGGTAGTCACATCTTTCAAGTTTACGTACAGAGGATGTCTTCTGTAGAGGTAGTCGAAAGACTAGAGAAAGTAGCACATCTACTGATATCCTGTTCAACTTGTCTCGAGTACAAATCGTAACTCTTTTGTAAATAAGCTTAAACTCAATATCTGGACTTTTGGTGCTGTACATGAATGGAAGCTGAAGTTAGGCAAGATGCAGACGAGTGCAAGGTTTTGACAAGGTCTCATGAGGTGTAATTTATCTTGGCAGCCCCTTCAAGAAGCATTTGGAGCGCGGGCTCCTTGATGACGAGATTGCAAAATTATCGAAAGGTGGAGAGAAGTTCTATACAAAGTTTCCTGCAGCAGGTATTGACGGAGGTAGCTGGGTATCTACTGCACCTTCAGCACCATCTCAGGTAATTACAACTAAATGCAAATGTTTTCTGCCCAGACTCTATATCGGCTGTCTTGTTTAGTACACATTCCGCTTCTGAATCCTTCTACTTTGCGACGGGAGATGCTTACTTTAGGATGTCTGAAGTTTCACAGTTTCTCATCGTGATCTCATGCTTGGTAAAGGAAAAACTTCTTGCAAGTTGTTCGGTAAAGAAACGCTTGGAGACCTCCTGGCGGGAGTCTCATAAGGAATGTACGTGGGGCGATTTTGAAACTGAACAGCAGTGCCAATTCTTCTCACTGTGTAAGCATCCGCTTCACTAAGTTATCAACATTGAAAAGTCCTAGGAGTTAGTAGTTTCAACTGGAATAACATAGTAGCTCAAGTTTGATTAGCATCATCTAGGCTCAGGATATCAAGGTTATTATCCGAGGAAATTGGCTGTTTGATGCATCCTTGAAGCAAATCTTCACCTCTTTAAAAAAAAGACTACATGAACATTTTCGGTATACTGCAAATGTGTAGACAGAGGATGTTCGAATTTGAGGACGTTAGATCGGTCATGGGGATCTTGCAGGTAATAGCTATCAGGACATCTTGCACACAAGAAGGCTGGTGAATAAAGGGGATGGTGTAGTGAATCATGAAGACGTCACTACCATGGATGCTTACATATTGCATATTGTGAGTTCTTGGATTCATGATTCTATTTAAAGCTTGTCCTCATTGTACGTTATCTTTTGCAGACAAGGATCCTTTCTGTGATCTAGTTTGATCAGTAGATAGTAATCAATTAATTAGTACACATATTGCGTTTGAGTGTGAACATACTCGGAAGATGCTACTTTTCCGAAGTAATCTTGCTTGTATCTTATGTCAATATTTCCCTCTGTTGTTTGCAGCTCAACCACTTGACGAAATCCAGGGATTTGATTCAAAAGAACAATGAGAAGCTTCATCATACATCGTCAGGTGGTTTGTCATCGCAGTCTGTCGTGGATCCTCCACGGGACCAAGGATTTACCAGACCTAAGGTTAACAGATGAACTTTCAAAACATAAGTCGATGAACCAGTTTATCAGTAAACCTCAACAGTTTCTTCTTCATGACGTTGACATGTCGTTGATATTTGTCAATGGGTGTGAAATTTTAGCTGCTTTCCTTGATTAACGGTGTAGTGACTACCAATGCAGGTTCTGGTTTTGCTGCCATTTCGCAGCTCAGCCTTGAAGTTTGTGGATCGGTTACTGAATATGGTTCCAGCGTTACAGAAGGTGTGTATGAATGTCTGGTGCGTGAAAGAGGTTTATGAGATGCACCTGCGAGACGTATTAAACTAGTGGGCATGCCGAAGAAGTACACAAAATGCTGAAACTTTATCCTGATGGTTTCGGACGAAGAAGCAAACACGCATATAAAGACTTCTATTGCCTGCCAATAAAATCGTCGAAGGCAAAATGGGTGTTTCAACGCAACTCATACGTTTGTTCAGTGTATATGCGGTTTATGGCCTTCAAGTCGTTGAGATATGTTTGTTCTCTGCTTCGGAACCCGAATAAACTCAGGTCTTTGTTGTCTGTTGTTCACCTCTTTCTCGAATGATGAGAATTGCCATCGACTGACTACGTTTTGGGGTCGTTCTCATAGGCCAATGTGGAACACAAAGATCGTTTCTATGATGATTTTGGTGCTTTGAACGAAGAAGACGCTGAAGCATTAGGTGTTCCCAACAAGAAAGATCCAAAAGCTGGAAAACCTGCGGACTTTAGGGCCCTCTTCAGCGGAAACAACGATGATCATTTCCGCATTGGACTGAAATTTACAAGGTTTATACAAGTCATCTGCATTTTATCCCTTCTTTCAGACTGGATGGTTTATCTTGCTTTGTAATTTTCGGAATTTCGAACCTAATGGTTTGGATTAAAGCTTTTGCATAGTTGTGCTTATTTATCTATTTTTTGATTGCAGGAAAGGCATCAAGCTATATAGTGAGTTTTATTCTTCTGACGTAATTATAGCGTCTCCTGTTGGGCTTGTTACGGTTAGACCCTTGAACCGTAACTCCTATAATGAGTATTTCTACTATTTCGTTTTAGTTGGTCAACTGAGTGCCAATTTTTTTGATGTTGTATTCTTGTTCCAAATCTCTTTTCAAGAACTTTCTTAGATTTGATTACTTATCACAGTTGATCTTCCTGCTGCTTTTACTTGGACTTTCCTGCATGAAATTCATCATGCAGGAAGGTTCACTGCTAGGAACTGATTATGAAGACTGCTTATAACGATAAGATACAACGATGGCTGTCATAACTAATATCTCTTGAGCCGTCTATTCTCTAATCTTCGCTTTGATAACGCAGAGAATTGGAGAGGCAGAGTCTGAGAAGGCGAAGGAGATTGACTTTTTGTCATCCATAGAGGTGAGATTTGGAGTACATGTTGGAGGTTTTTCCCCAACAGATAGTGCTGGTCCGAGAGATAAACGGAATGACTAATATTATGGATCTTTCTCATGGACCAAATTATTAAATAAGGACGTAGTCCTTGTCGTTCACTTTATCACGAATGTGAGAGTTTTTCCTTTAATGAGGGCTAAGGTTGATCTTTGATCACAAGTATTGAAACGTTTGACTTGTGTTCTTGATTTCAGATTGCAGTCGTCGATTTTGCGGACATCATATTAATGCAGGTTTGTCTTATAATATGATCCTGAAAGATCCACTCTAGAAGTCATTGCTTTGATGTACTGGGAGCAAATTGTTATCTTTGCACAAAAGTTTCCAGGGTTATACTCTCAGCAGGTTGAGTTTTAGTCTGAGAAGTCAAGGATGGAATTTTGTATCCGTGTCTTGAAGCACCAATAATCCTACTAATCATTACGTTTTCTACAAGCAGAACTGGGCACATGTGGCGACTGTGTTTGAGCATCTCAATAAAATACCAGCACAACAGCATGGAACAGATTTCATGAGGATCCGAGAGTGGTGTGTGTCATCATACGAAGAACCTTTGGTGTTTCATTAACCGCAATCTATTATACCAAACTGTTTAGATGAGTTGTCTGTGATTCGAGCAGTAAGCGACATAAAACCTAAGAATACGTTCTTGACACCGGTAAGAAACAGCAGTTTGTCAATATCTTACGATTGATATTTGCACTGTCTTCGTGTTTGAGTTCAGGTTCTTGAATGGCCATGGTCGTCACTACCGTCAATCGATAATTCTCAGCGCTTTCTCAGATGCAGGTCCGTTCAACTCGATGAGACGAAGTTATGTGAGCTTAGTTGATAGTTTTCACTGGATGTTGTTGTCTCTGATCTTCTCGACAACTCGTTCTGGCCTTGTGTCTTCTCCGCCTTGAAGTTTGTATCCGATGTCGTCTTATGTGGTGCATAGTCTCCAATCAATCACAAAAACTTCCTGAACGAAGCGTTTTGTACGTAATGATGATGCTTGAAGTTTGTAGATATTCAGTCGGAGGGTTCATTCGTCCCACTTGAACGGATGATGGTTAGCTACATCGATTTTTTCTTCTCAATGCAAGCAATTGAGCAAATTCTTTCAGTCGAGAGCCTGTGCTTCTGTTTTAAATCGAAAAGAGAAACCCAGACATTTCAGCAGTGTGTATGAATATGCCCTTCGATTTGCTTTGAGCAGACAGTCTGCTCAGAATTTTTGCAATTGATGACCAATTTAACAAGATGACTGGCTTCTTGTACGAACCATATAAACCAGGTATGAAGGCGATCACTAACCTCAAGCTCTGGTTTTTCAGGTGTGAACGCACTTTTCCACCGCACTTGTGTCAACCATGCCGGAAAGGTACGAATTGTAACTCTTAATATTTTGCTGTGGATATCTTACTACCATCTGGTAGTAAGATATCGACTGTCTTTTCATATGCAATTTTAGTCATTCAAAGGAGTGGAGTACACACAATATCCATTAAGTGGAGGCACTTGAAACATACTTGGAAGTTCTAAACATTGGTGTAAAACCCAAAGACGATGCTGTTTTGAGGCCACTACATTATGTGAAATGGTTCCATGATGTGTTGTTACATTTCGGCTTGTACCGTTTTCAACACTGTGCATGAGGTCTTGCTTAGTGAAAGTTTTTTCATACATCAACATTGACCATGCTTCACGAGTACGCGTAGTTGGGATAGATAGAATTAAAGCTAACTGTGACTCAGTTTTCAGTTCGGGATTTGAATGCTACTTAGTTGTTACAAGTGCAGCAAGCTAGTTGTCGTATCAAGGAAGACACTGATCATACTTTGAACGTAATAACAGTTGAAAGTTCGCTGTCAGTATGAAGGTGTGCTAAGCCGTATAGTTCTCCAAGTGCGCCAAGTAAGTCTGCAAGATGTGATTCATATCGAATTTGTGATTAAGTTGTATTTTTTGATTACCAGCTGTATAAGGGTGTCAAACGATGTCTATGTGCAATCTTTGCTAAGAGGCGAGTTGATGGCTGTGGAGAGAACCGAGGTTGGATACATAGTTGTCTGACCAGTTCTGACTAAGTTGAACACAATTAGCTTTGCCTTCGTGATATTCCATCGAATAATATTCACATAGTGATATTGATCCTCTGAAAAACTCAGACCTGTCTCTCCGTTCGTAATTTACATTCGTCCGGATTACTAAAGCAAAGTCGAACACGTCATGAACAAAATTAGCTTAGCGGAACTGACAGATTCACCTAGTAAAATGCAAATGCACTGGGGCTGATGAACTATTCAATGCCTAGTCTGTCCACCAAGAGCAAGGTTTACGCTTCTCAACAGCCAGCCCTGGACATAGGCAGTAGAGTGTACAGTCCCAAATTACTTCTCGACTCTCATGTTAGTGAGACATCGGGCAGGCTACAAAATGGAGAGACATGATGTTCAGCTCAATGTTTTCTGGTCTTTCAGGCTATGGCCCGACTACAATTATATCTGCTTACATATGTCTGTTGACGACGATTTGAGCAGGTTTATGAAAAGATGGACTGTACTTCGATCGCAAATGTGGACGACTTGCGATTTGAATTTTTTACCACACAGGTAACGAGGGAGAATCGTAGAGTCCACGAGCAAGCTCCAGCGATACGTATAGCATCTTTATGTTTCTTTAGATCGGGACTCCAACTTCTTTCTCATGATTAGGGGATTCAGCTGTAGTTTTAGTCTTGATCTCCCAACTGCAGTTGAACGTTCTCTCAGTTCTTTGGGCACATCTGTCTAAGTGTTGCGGTGTTGCTGCAGGTGTTTCCCCGGATTAAGAACTCTATACAGGTACAGCACTTGAACGAGATCTTTTCACTACCATACCATACCGCTCGCGGAGTTGTGTGCACTTTACAGCAGCTTATGGTCTGCTATTGAATAGAAGGATGAACTATGTTTGAATCTTTGCATTCTTAACCAACGGGTGTGTTTGAAATGGCAGGGGGGAACCTTACTTTTTGTGCCGTCGTACTTCGACTTCGTGCGATTAAGGAACTTCCTCAAGTCTCAAACCGCGTCGTTTGCTCTTTTGGGAGAGTAAGTTGTTCTATCATTCACCAGGTTGTCGTGTACACCTATAACCATATCCTGAGGCACATGTTATGATTTTACGTCGTTCCGCACGTGAAACCATGTACGTGTCTGGGACGTACAGGAGTCTCTGACGAGAAAGCTTTGTAGTGAAGCCTGTGCAATTCTTGCTATCGGTCATGGATTGTATAGGATTCTGTTAGACTTCGCTCCACGCTGCCGGCTATGGCAGGTATATCCTAATCAGTAAAGCTTGTACAGTTTACGATCAACTGAATTTGCTCTTCAACGAAAAAGTGCAACCTCTGGTCCTTTCGTGTATGGCTTTTACTCAGGGTTAAGTTGTCATCCGTTTCAGATGCTGGCCTGTAGGACCCAGATATTGGCATTGAGTGCAATGCTTGATTGAATGTTAGTTTAGACGATTGCTTTATTTTGAAGAAACACAACGACGGTGCTCAATCGCATGACTGCTATGATACAGGTATACCAAACAAAGTGATATCTCACGCGCCCGATCGTGGTTCTATCACGGGGAGCGCAAAATTCTTCTATACACTGAGCGTGCTCATTTCTTCCATCGTTACAAGGTTTGTTTAGTTACGGAATTGTTTTTGTCCAGTAAACATAATTTTTAATTGGAAAGTATTGACTACCTACCTGAGATATTATAGTTTTAATAAAGTCGTGTTCGATGACTTCCTTCGCAGATTCGTGGAATTAAAGACATAATCTTTTACTCGCTTCCCGAGCACGCAAACTACTATGTTGAGGTATGGAGCTTTTCCGAACTGGTGATATGCAGATGTCTGCTGATTACGTGCGATCAGTAGCCTGATTATCGAAAATAGTCACTCTGATAGCTCTAGCATAAATCGACAAACAAACATATGAGGTCGAGCTAAAGCTAAAGCCTCCAGTAAACATTGGAATTTGAGCCGGTTTCTTCAAGATGCCCAGAAGAACACGTGACTAAATGTTTTGTTTCGTGTCACAGTTATTGAATCTGCTGGAGGGAAACGAAGCTCCGTCATGCACTGTCATATTTTCACGTTTCGATAATCTTCAGGTTTGTTTTTACACTTTGTCTGCTAATTATGAAATTAGCACGTGGAGGTCATGTTTCATTCTCTTTGGAGGGGCTAGAAAATCTTGCGATTTTCCCATTCTTACGAAAATCTCGAAAGCTCAAGTTTGTGCAAGTTTTGAGCTGACTTTGTGGAAAGTAGTCCTCAGTTAAGAATTGAATTTCCTGTTTGTTGTCTGCAGTTGGAGCGTGTCGTTGGGACTTCACGAACCAAAAAAATGCTTTCATCCCCCAATCGGCTTTTCATGTTCATGTAGAGTGTGTCATTGTTCAACCAACCAAGAAGCTCTACAGGGTTAAATTTGTAAAGAATGAGGGATCTCAAGCTCATTGGACAAAGATTGTACTCCTTCACATAGGATAGGAGATCCGAAATAGGAATAGTCGAAATCAAGTGACTCATAGAAGCAGATGTATCTTTTACATCTTCATATTTCACGTTAAACATAACTTTGTTGTACGTTTCTGCTGAACGTTTTCTGTACATTTACGCACAATCAATCAAGATTGAAACTTCGAGGTTAACAACGTTCGCTTGCGTGTAATCATCTTCACTCAAATTAGCAAACTGCATCGATGGGAATTGATCACTCCTCACAATACTCTGGTCATTTTTGTCAATTATTGCTTGGGCGTATGGTGTCACACCTATTTGTCGAAGATAAGAAGTTGCTCATTATCTGATACACGATTTACTTGATACGACTTTATTTCAATGTTCACGCTGATATCTAGGAACGGCCATTCATGGCTACAGTGAACTACAGTAGAAATCATTCAAAATTGCCCACCTCAGGCCATTAAAAGCCAAGCCAAAAGTTTTGAAGAAAAGTAGAGGGCTGAATAATTTTAAGGGTCTCAAACTTCACAAAAGACCCAATTATCCACCAGGACGGATGATCTTGTCAATGTTTACCAGATTAGTCAAGGAATTTCCAGAGAAACCTATTATCGCTGTAGGGAGGTCGACGTTAATGACTTGGGCGTGAATTTAATCCGGATACAGACAGGGAGCCGTAAATAGACGCGCCGACGGATTCTAATCTAGACAGTACGAACTCCTACCGCCTATTAATCTATCCAAGTTGAGAAAATGAAAGCTTGTTTTGAGGAGATATATCTTCTAATGCAGAAAAGATAAGATATAGTAAACAATAGTCTTGATATGTGGAAAACCTAATTTTGAAGTTAGCAGTTAGATTACAATCATGAGAAGTTTTGAAATGTCCTTTTTGTTATTCGAGAAGTGTAGAAGATGGATTGTGATGTATTTGATTCTTCATCCTTGAAAATTTTCCGAAATCTGCTTTGCTGGCAACGTAGTGCAGGTCTGCAGAAAAGGCAGCATACCTGTTTCTGGTGGAGAGATTGATGATGCGGTGAGCTTTGAACTGGTGAACAGCCTGTCATCAATTGAGCAGGTGATTTCTGTTTGCACGTTCATTCATTGTGAGTTTGCGAATTCAACAAAATCAGTGGGTCCTCCATGGACATCCGGAAAGTCAAAAGAAGAAAATGTGGTGAAGATTCCAGAAAGGTTTGTAATTTCCACTATAGCACCGATGGACTGCTTACTTCAGTACATTGGAGGAAGTGGGCAATCAACGCGTATTGTTCAGCTACATTTACTCTTCTTACTGCAGCTGTTCATTGACACTGATTTGACTGTAGACAAATGCAGGCAGCTGAGAAAATGGAAAATGGGACATCCGCGTTTTAGGACAGGGTCGTGTCTCTTGTTGTGACTACAAAATTTAGCGGAAGACAACACCGAAAGACACTGCACGTAAAAGTCGTGACTTCATTCTGGCAATTGCAAAGGCATCTAGATTGGAGCAGGGAAGAATTTGTGCAACAGAATCTTCTGATTCCAATTGTCTTTCCCATGAATTGAGAGTTTTACAGAGTTGCATTGTCATGGTAGATGGCATGATCCAGTAAAATATGATCGGATGCCAAGTTCTATGCTAAATGCTTTGCGGTTGAACGCAAGTGAAAATTTCAACGAGCATATCCAGACAAAAGCTTACGGAAACAATCGGAAATGAAGAAAGGGAGAGTTTTGTGACTGGGCCTTTTGGACTATTTGGCTGGTCCAGTGAACAAACTGACACTGGGCGTGGTACCAATCATATGGAAAATGCAGCGATCATATTCAGGTGGTTTAACATAGTGTAAATGGTTAGGAGTTGCATAACATCAGAACCAAGTAAGTAGTTTTCTTTGCACAACATCGCTTCAACTTTTCAACTTAGTTCAACTTTTCTCCAATGGGCATCCATTGCGGTGAAGAGTCTGAAGGAAGAATGAGGGGCTAAAATAGTCATCTGAGGTCACGGTTGGCTGGTTGCGTTTGCAAAAAGCAAACAGATTCGGATCTACTCTTTAATGAAAGCAATGTCATGTGCATTGTCATTGTTAGGTCCCACAAAAAATTATCAAAAGTGTCCAGCCTAGCATCTTCACTGTCTTCAGCGGAGTGAACTGGCGTAAGTTCAGTACAAGCCGGGAGTGAAATTAGTATGCTTAATAATTTCCAGTTGAGGATGGACATATTTTAAGATATCAAACAATTTGTGGAGCACTGAAGATCAAACAATATTGTTGTGAGTTTTCTAGAAGTCGTTGCATTAAGATTTTTCCTTATGATTATGTAAGATAAAGCTTGGGTCATTAGGGTGAATGCAATATATTTTTCACGTCTTGTGTAGCAAAAGGTTTCCTATTACTCCATAGATTGAGAATTCAGGGGTCCATGTGAATACTATAGTTAACTACCAAGTGCAACATTTCAAAAACGTTCTTTTACATGTTAACCATCGGATACTATGTGGAAGCAAAGTAAGTTATCCAAATGTTTTGGTTGTACCAACGGTGAAATCACACAACAAAGTAACCACAGTACATGGCAAATAACCAGATCATGCTGTTTCTGTCGTCTTCTGTACCAAGCGAGAAGCAAGCAAGAGTGTTCTTAGCACGATCAAAATTCGATAACGATTTCATGTTTGTGGTCTAAAGACCTCCAAACTATGCATGCATTCACATACTTGACAGCTGGGGTAGAAGAACAATCATGCAAGCAGTTGATGACCTCGAGTACTGGTATCCTCTGTACACAATTCTCCGATATGATAGGTAGTAAAATCCCAAAAAGCTTATCAGTTTTTTCTGAACCTACAAGTTATTTACAATTATGTAGACAACTGTTCTGGGTCAGAAGTAAGAAAAAACGTAACATGCTTATTACAGCTGACTACGCATGTGCCACTCAGCTGTCAGAATGCGTCCACTTGCTCGAACAGATCGAACATCCCAGACAAATGGATTAACAAATAAGAAAATTGTAATTGAAATTGTCAATGTGACGTCATCGAATATACCATCACACTAAACACCATCATTCACGTTTCCTCTCCGCTTGCACAACAAAGTCAAGATCTACTCTGACCTTCTAACACCATGTTCCAATCACAGAGTATGAAAGAACACGATTTTTGTGTTCGAATGTTGTCATTACCTTGATCGCTCACACGATTCAGTGACAAGATCTGATTGAAGAGGATGCATGCTTTTTCCCGCGCTACCCATCGTAGTGTCTGTCTTCCCGTTGGTCTTGATGCAGCTAGATTCGCAGTCTCCCAGTACAAGTGAACATCCAGTTTTTCCACAACTCAGAGTTCGTCTCATCTGAGAAATCTGCAATATCATGCATTCTATGACATTTTGCTTTCACATCTCGCCATCTTTGCTAATAACTTGATTTCAGATACTCCTGCATAGCGATCATCTTGTCCACTCAGTTCGGTCACTAGTGCACATCAAACCCAATAGACGTGAAGTGTTTTTGCCACCCGGTCTACGATTTAGCTTGGAACCAGAATCCTGGTTTTCCGTGTTAATTTTGATTCCCATCACTTGTCCCGAGCTCAAGCAGACTCCTGCTTCCACTTTGCACAATCTTCCTCTGTTCGTGGTCTGCGTATCTTCAGATCTCGGAGTGATATTTGTGCCGCTACTTGTGCACAGTGCAAGAAGTCTCATGCCCAGTGCACACGAGTTGTGACACTACTACAACGGGAAGATCAGTTTTCTGGAGAGCTGGGCTTTCGGATCGAGGGGAGGGCCTCCTGTAACCCGGTTTCATTTCGCCTCTGTGAGAGTGGAGGAGAGAATGGAAGGTGCAGGTGCGTCCATGGTCAGTCACGCTGCTGAACTTGCGACACGGGAGATGGAGTCCGCACACGAGGAACCGGAGCTTCCCTCCGCCATCCAGGACCTTGTACGGCGTCTGGAAGGACAAGGCGAGCCTATGACGCGGCTTCCCAATTTAAGCGGACCAGAATTTCTGGACTTCTTTCCGGAGGGTGCATCGACAATCATAGGGTGGCGAAGCCAAGTGCGTCTTCGAGTGCTGGAGGCAATCGGCAGCTGCAACACCTTTGAGATTCTGGACGTGCATGATATTTGTGGGGGAAATATTATGAGGTTGACGGCAAGCGAGTGGGAGCTAGTTTTCAGAGGTTTCAGGTCTAGCACCATTCTACAACAGATACGCCTTGGTCCTTCGCTATGGGATTTAGAAGCTAACTGGGAGAGCTTGTGTTTACAGCTGGGGAGAATTCTGAATTCCTCTAGCGTAAAAGAATTGAAAGTAGTCCGTCGCAGAATCAGTGTCAGATGTTTCTTGAATCTCGCCTCCGGACTGCAAGGACATTCCGATTCTAAACTCCAGTCTTTAGATTTATATGACGCGTGGGAGGACTCGAGTGCGATGAAGCATGTGGCTGACATGATCAATAGTGCTCCACTATTAGAAAAGTTGCTTTTAGGCGACTCTTTTAACGAAAACGACATGGAGGACGAGACCGTTGAAATCCTGTCCCAGGCGTTGATCCAGAGCTCGTCCCTGAAAGAATTGGAGTTAGATGGGGTGAAGTGGGGACCGGCCTTGTTGCAGAAAGCATTGGCCGGAGACGATCGCAACCGATCTATTGAACGTGTTCGGCTCTTTGGTATGGGTAGAATCGGAGACTGTTTAAGGGAACTTCTTATTTCCAATCCATCATTGAAGATAGTGGAGTTGCGCTCGTTGCGGATGCGTACTGAGGAATGGCACCAGCTCGGCGAAGTCATACGTGACAATGCTATAGAGACAACTATATTTGTTATGTTTGGCTTCGAATACGATAACCGGGAGTCAATAGAAGCTCTTGTTCGTTCTGCTAGGTCCGATGTCAAGGACCCCACAGTGGAGCTTGAACTCCATACTAGGAGTGAAGATCAAGTGATGTACTCCAAAAAATATAAAAATACGGAGTATTCATTAAACCTATTAGGTAGGGTACTGCGCGGGGAAATCAGATCTCTAAAATCTCTGAGTATATTGACGCCTTCTAAAAAAATTATCATTTTCAGTATCCTCCCGATGAATGGGAAAACCGGAGAAACTTCAGTCCTGAGGAGACTGGAATTATCTGTTCGAAGCGAAGATCTTTCGAAGGAAGTATGGGAGGAC